CTCTCTAGTCTCTCTAGTCTCTCTAGTCTCTCTAGTCTCTCCAGTCTCTCTAGTCTCCCTAGTCTCTCCAGTCTCTCCAGTCTCTCCAGTCTCCCTAGTCTCTCCAGTCTCTCTAGTCTCTCCTGTCTCTCTAGTCTCTCTAGTCTCTCGAGTCGTTTTCAGTCCATTCCAGGTTATTTGTGTCAAATTTAGCTCAGAATTCAGACAAATCCTTCTTCATCTCTAGTTTTCTAGCAGAAACTTGAAGGTTTGGCATTAAAACGGTTCATGACTTCATCTACCTTGACAAAGTTACCTATGAAGAAAATTAACCCGATGTTTTGCATGCTGATTTTTATTTTTATTTGAATCACAAAGACTTAGCATTTTCACAGGGACTGTGCAGACTTTTTATGTTTGCTGTATTTTTAATCTCTTAGTGTGAAGTTTGGAACGAAGTGATAAATCATGAAGTGAGAAATAATGCTGTGTACCGTGAGGCCTTCAGTTTTTTTATGTTTTTGAATTGAAGGATGAATTGAATCTCCTGGAAATTAAAAAGCTAAGGCTTATTTTCTAATAAAACACATTTAGTGGTTGCTAAAATTGCTGTCGTTCAGAGTTCTGTCATAAATATGAGCTGCAGTATAGTTATATATTTCCTGTAGGGGGTGCGTTTCACGCAGACTGTCCTCAGCAGCAGTGTTTTACTGTAAGTGGGTCAGCTTCCTCGCTGGCAGTCAGACGGCGTCCTTGGACCAACAACAGTTACACTCACTGGACCGGTTCCACTCCCAACCTTCTGTCCACTTCAGCATTATATAATGTCAGAGGACTCAAAATAACTGGGAGATCATCTGCGCTCAGTCACTTACAAAGGAATATTTGTCCCTTTGAGCCGTTTTGCCACAATTATTCATAACGGACAGAATGATAATTTTATCACAAATCAAAAAAAGCTGTAATGTTGAACTGGAAGTAAAGAAACTTTCATTAACAGAATCAAATTAAGTTAAAATGTTTCTGACTGAAGAACTGCTAAAGTTTCTGTATTTTCCTTCTTTCATGTCAAAAATTCAAATCAAATGTTTGAATTGCAAGCAGTTATAAACTGGTTCAATCAATCAATCAATCAATCAATCAATCAATCAATCAATCAATCAATCAATCAATCAATCAATCAATCGTGGTTATTTGTACAGCACATTTCGGCAGCAAGGCGTTTCAAGGTGTTTTACATAAAAACACAAAATCTCACATTTATAAAGAAAACACCAAACAGTCACAACATGACAAACTTTCCATTTTGATCGGTGCCTTCACTGAAATCATCAGATATGTTGGTAAATGTTCATTTATTATGGTTCAAAGGGAACTCTGCACAGGTTTCTAGATTTAAAGGAGCTCAGTGTTTTCTGGAGGTTTGTTCCAGAAACACTTTCATTACGTTAGCTTGATGAGTCATGAAATCTTAAACATATTAACCTTCTGAGCATCACCTTCACTTGGACCCCGAATAATGAACTTCTGTTATTATTCGTGCAGGCGATGTAGAAATCGGCCTGACGGAGAGAAACGGGGGTCTGGAAGTAGAAGTTGTTCAAGCGAGAGGACTCACCATGAAACCAGGCTCAAAGGGACCTCCAGGTAACGTTAGCATGACCGCTGGATCAAACAAATAAAACCTGCTTTTCCCAGGACTTACATGGGAACCATCACACACTGGACTGAGGATGTTCCAATAACCAACCTGCTTGACTTTTATTTCTGCCATATTGAGGACAAGGACGATTCTACACAAATAAATCAAAAGCAGCAGCAGCTGCACACAGAGCAGCCTGCAGGGTAGGCTAAAAGGGGGAAACAATTTTTCATAGTTTTGGGAGTTTGCACACAGAGCAGAGAAAGCTAAATGCACCAAACAGGAACAGAGTGACTCAGAGGTTTTTCACCCAGGAGGTTTAACAGCTTCGTTCAACTTGGGCTCTAAACTTTCTGCTGCCGATCATTTTGAGTCATGTTTAAAGTTACTGTACTTGTCATTATGCTTGAAGGAAAGCTGTAATATTTGTGTTGAACTAAACCTGTTTCAAAAGACAAAAAGTATGAAATCAGATTGTATTTAGTGGCTGGACATGTTTAAATGGAATAATAACTTAATTTAAATCATGAATAGCTGCTGTTTGTTCTTTTCATCATGTTTAATGTTGGATTAAATATTGATTTATTTAATAATCAAATCAACTGATAAATCATCTCCCCAACTTTCCTACCCATTAAACCTTGAACAGTTTAGTCATTATTATTTAGTTATTTTAAGTTGTGCAGACACTTTACTGTGACTACAAATAAACTTTTCACTTGTTAAATAACAAACATAATTCTGATTTTATGATGTTACAACAGTTTTTTGCCTCATCAGCTTTTAAACATAACATGATATTTTTAGTAGCATCCTTCGTGTCGTATCTTTGCAACACTTTGACATCAGAATTAGCCTGATTTGTTTTCTTCTGCTGAAAAATGCCTTTTATTATTCAGGAGAATAATACAAGATATTTATGAGTAACTCATCTTATGCCACAGTTTCCCCCAAACCACAGACAGCTGGGGATTGTTCTTCCCTTTTCTGAGTTGCCAAATGTTTTTCAGAACTTCCTTAAGGCGAACCAGAAGTCTCTCTGCGAATTATCTCCTGGAAAAAAGAAAAAAAAAAGACAAATTTGTTGCTCAATTTTCTCTTTCCTCATCTTCCAGCGGCATACATCAAAGTTTACCTCCTGGAGAACGGAGTCTGTGTGGCCAAGAAGAAGACCAAAGCAGTGAGGAAGTCTCTGGATCCTCTCTACAATCAGGTCCTGGTCTTTTCTGAAAGCCCACAGGGGAAAGTGGTGCAGGTAAGAACCCACAGAAAGGAACAACAACATTTAAAATATCTTAAATGGAAGCTCTGACAACGACCAAATCTTGTTTCCAACTGAACTTGAGTTCAATGTTATTTTCTTCATTATTAATACAAATCTAAGATGCATGATTCATACTTTTGTCAGCATGCTTGGGCAAAAGGTCAATCACAATTGAAAAAAAAAATGTAGAGGAAAAAAATTAAAAATGACATTTTCATCCATAAACTCTGAGTCCTAAAATCTTCCACAGAGAGCCGCTTTAAAACACGAGCTGGACCTTTTCTAAAACAATGTGACCTGAAGAACCGCTGGCTCTGTGAGCTCATTTTATTTTCAGCTTCAACAATTAAAAAAATAAAATCACAAACAACCAACTCAGACAGAGACGGATTATTTCTGCACTTCAGTTTTTCCTCCTCTGCTCTTCTCTATCTGCAATATTCCTTTCTTCAGACTTTGGCATTATGTTTTAGTCATGTTCTTTTTTTCCCGGTTTCCATACTCCGTGTTTCATAATGTCTTCATGCTAGCTCAGTGCACGCCCCACGTGAACACGGTTTCACCCTGGGTGTTGGTGCCAGGCCTGCTCAGTCAGAAGCCCAGGGAACCAGTGATGTGTTGGCGGAGAGGCCTGCAGCTCTGCCTCCAGCTGCTCTCCTGCTCCTGTCACCGGCTAATTAGCCGCTAAACGCCTCCCTCTTAATTATCTGCTGTCTGTGCCGCTGTCCTCCGAGTTTCATCAAACTCATTCACCCTGGATAATGAAAATCGCTGAAATCAGCAGCACTTTTCAATTTGTCATTTCCCAATTTAGCAAATCGCAGAGCTGCTTAAGACTACACGGAAAATCTATTTAAAAAGCTGCTTTAATTGCCTCTGTGACAGAGCCAGTTTTATTTGTCAGTTCGGATAAAACACATTGCGTAACAAACAAGCATGCTGTAAATTTTACATTTAGTGAGCACTTTTTGAAAGTTTAGAATGTTTTCTCACAAATTTGTTAACTGAAAGTAATTCCAGGAGGAACTGAGACACTTGTTTGCCTTTTTTCAAAACCGATTGATAAAAATTGAACATTTTTCACCACAAGTGTTTTCCTTAAAGTGCAGAAAACTGCAGTGGTTGAAATAAGACAATAGAAACCAAAGGTTAGGAACAAGAGAATCATTTCTTACAGTTCTGACTCAGAGTCTCGGAGGAAATCATTCGCAGACGTTTGGTATTCTGTGATGCAGGGAGACACTGGACCTCCACATGAGGCGACGTATGCGCTGATGGATATTGATTATTTTGTCCACCGCCTGAGAAGAACTGCGGCTGTCTGAGTTGAGCCCCGATGTTATCAGGATGTCAGGGGACAGAGGACACCAAATGCACAAATAAACAGCGCTCAGCCTGCCTTGTGCTACAAAAAGAAATGCTCTGGGCCGTGCTCACACACCTGCATACATCTATCTACTGAGCTTGGATTTAAATTTGACACCAAGTTGTGAGTTTGGTTCCAAAATCTCGTCCACAACATCATGAAGTGACGCATTGATTTTACTGATCTGCAGCTTTTTGTTTTGTTTCACAGTGCAAAGTAAAGCCAGAGTATTAGTAAAAGACAAATGCTCTTTATTGACTATGCATTTCACATGAACCATAAATTATCATCTGCAGGGATTTATTAAGTGCATCAGTTTTAATACAAACTAAGTTTCAGTCTGAATTTAAGCATATATAACACTGTGGAAGAGCCATGATGCCTCGTCCTGCAGATTTGTTAACGTCTTTGTGGTGACAAGATTAATTTATCATAAATACTTTAGAGCTCTAATAAAACCAAAGAATGTGTCCAATGTGAAACTTATTCCAGTCTTTTCTAATGAAATTTGCTTCTTTTGAAACTATAATGATTGAGTTAAAATGTGAAAATACTGGCCAACGTCCAGCTCCACGTACGTCATGAATCTGAATATCGTCTCTGTTTAATTTGGCAGCAACATTTTATTTAGAGTTTTTAGCTTTTTCAAGCCATGGGATCCAAGACAAGGTGTTTGAGAAATTAAATTTAATTTAGGAGATTTTTATTTCTGGGAAAAGATATATGACACTTAGGGATGCACTGATATGAAAATCTGGACTGCTATTGATATCCAATATCTGATATAAATATTTGTGTTGCGGTTGTTAAATTTCATTACTGTTTAAAAACCTTCAGAAAAAACCCAACCAGAAACAGATAAAACTGAATATTGGTTGTTTATATCGATCCAGGTTTATTTATTGGACCGATAAGTTAGAAAATGACAGATATCGACTGATACTGATGTTGGCACCGATATATTGTGCATCCCTAATAACACTTGTACCCAACTGACACTTTCCAAGACCCTTTGTTTTTCAAAAACACTGATGGATGTCTCCTGATCAGGCCGGCTGTGCTGGTCACTTCCTGTACCAAACCAAACCAAACCAAACCAAAACAAAACAAACCAAAACGTTAACAGATTGACAACAATCAGCCTTTTTATCCCCATTTGTTTCTCGCCTTCAGGTCATTGTTTGGGGAAACTACGGACGAATGGACCGTAAAAGCTTCATGGGCGTAGCTCGAATCCTATTGGAGGAGCTTGACCTGAGCACCATGGTGATTGGCTGGTACAAGTTGTTCCCTACCTCCTCCATGGTGGACCCGACCATGGCGCCACTGATCCGCCACTCATCTCAGATGTCTCTGGAGAGCACCATTGGACCATGTTGTGAGAGATCCTAAGACTCAGGAAGGAAACTGTGGAGTTTCCTGTCGCTCAGATTAAACTGAGTCTGAAGAAACGTTTTTAAACCCTGTAGCTCTGCGCCTGGCTCAGCTGGTCACCACTTCACCTGCACCAGGAACAAGTTAAGATTCACAAGTCTGGGGAACGATCAGAACTGATAAATGACTGTGCTAACCAGCCGGTTGTCCTGCATTCATTTGAAATATATAATAGTTTGGAAGCAGATTGTGTCCCATGACTCTTGGGAACCGCATTTCTTTTATTGTTGTAACTGACCATCCCTCAGACTCTAAGGGAGATTTCTCTGCCTTCAGATGTCTTTGATGGAAGGAGAAACCAAACCCTCCTTAATGAGGATACTTCAAAGCAGAGCTCGGATGCTGACATTGATCACATCCTATTGGGACTCGGCGGCTCCGTTTGCTGCAGCTGCCCGCCTCCTCTGCAGCCTACATCCAACTCTCATTCCCAGGGCTGCTTGTTGTCTTTCTACGTCCTCACCGTAATGTTTGAGAAACCAGTTCCTATCGATGGATGTGTATGCAGCAGGACTAAAAACACTAAGGTCTAAGTTATTTGTTGCGACATACCAGGAGATACTGGGTCCAACCAAATGAGCTGTTTTTGTGTTTTTTTTCTCTGCGTTCCACATTGGTTGAATGATGTTCAACTCCATGAAACATGTGGGCGATCCCAACATGGCTGACAGCTGTTGTAGCTTCTGGAAGGATCTGGATCTTAGCCTGAAGTTAGGGATGACGCTGCTGCTGGTTTCTGTGCACACAGTTCGTTAGAGCCTCACATCGCAGCATTTAGCTGGCTCACCTGTGGACCTACGTTACAGGGCTAATCCTTCTCAGTCCCCAAAAACTGTTTGCAACCTGCTAATGTTCACCAGTTACTAACTCACATGACATTTAAAGCACTTTTCAGTCTATTCAGTTGATGTTGTGTTGATTTTAAAGAGAAATATACATCCTTGCCTATTATAAAAAAGTGACAAAGTCAATTTATTCTAACTAGGGTTTCAAAAATAAAGGTGGCAAAGATTTATTTTTTGTAAATTGTGAATTATAAACGTCCTCCAGATTCTGTCCTGGTGCGAAAACTGAGAACTGCAGCGAAGAACCCCTAAATTAAATGAAATTGTATGCATGCAGTCTATTCTACAGGATTATGATTTTAATATAAAGTGGCTAATGTTAAATGCATGACATTAGCACATTTAAATTTTGCTGAGGCCTTACAGGGAACAGAATGTACCCAGCATGAAGCAGCCAGGTGTATTCTGGGTCTAAAGTAACAAATGTTTGTTCTTTATTTATTATTTCTGCTCTGCTTTGGTTCGTTTTCGCCTCCTCATGCAGATCACACTGAATGCAGCGGCCGCTATCACTGGAAAAAACAAGAAAAGTTCAATCTTGGTTGCTGTAAAGAGCAAACAGCTGCCTGTGAACCTGGCAGCTGCAGCAGCTCTTCAGATAGATTTCTAACATTCCTCTAGTCTTTTTTAAGCTTTGGTGAATAACAGTTTCTGTTGTGCCAATTTCTACCAGCACGTGTCTTCTTCCTCTTCCTCAGTTACCTTGTGGCATGTGCCATTGTGAGGGAGACAGCAGAAAAACCCAGCAGCATTCAGGCTGCGCAGAGAAGCGTCGCTTTCATTCTAAATTAAAGCCCTGATCCACTGAAAGCCAAGCCACCTGGTGATTAGCCATGCTTCGACTGAAAACCGGAGGGAGGAAGAGAGGGAGGAAGAGGAGAGAGAGAAAGAGAGCATGAAATCTTCTTTGCACCATCCAAACAAAGGATCTGTCTGGAATGACGTCAGGTGTTACAGACTTCAAAAGAGGACGGAGAAATGGGATGAACGTAAAGGGAACACAATGTGCACACTGTAGAGAAATTTTATTAGAGCAAAAACCATTTATTTGGGCACTTTAAGATCCATAATGTCTCCTTTCTGTGTACATATGACCACTGGTTGTGTCTTTTGGTGTGAGCCAAAGTGAATCTGTCATGACTTTGTTGATAAATGTTGAAACACAAGTGGAAGGAGGTGATGATATCTTTGGTAGATTCTTTTTCTGAGACTGTAGCAGTAGCTGGTAGCATCTGCATGACAGGTTAACATTTCTACTATTAGCACAAAACTTGATAAGATTTAACATGAGCTACACAGAGGTCACGGTTTGAACTGAGGAACATTCCTATGTAGCACTTTTATCCTTTCTTTCTTAAGATGTTTTGTTTCAGCTGCTTTCTGTTAAAAAATAAAACTAACTCATCAAGACTTTTTAATCTTCTTGTTGGTTAGAAGCAAAATTTTGAAATAAAATCCGTTTGGTTGCCGTAATCACTGGATGAATTCCTCTAATTCAAATCATTTTTTGTAAAAGTGGCCTCTGCTTTGCCGGTAGCATCGTTCCAAGCAAATTCCTTTCACTCTGTGAAGCAATAAAGCATCCAGTTCATGCATAACAAAAACACAAGTTATGATTTCATCACCAATGTATCAGTTCTACTGTCTGAAAAGCCATTCATGTTCTCCAGTGGGATGTTCATGCTTTACATGTCTGTGGAAGGTTTTGACACAAAACACACTTTGCAAAACCCAACAACTAAACATTATTGTACATTTAATTATGTTTAAACTCTCAATGGAAATGCCTCTAAAATGCTGTGCATGTAAACATTTTAGGAGATTTCTTTTAGCCCAGAAATCACTGCTCTGATTGGTCAACCTCTCAGTGGGTCTCAGCTCTGAAGGAATCGATTGATTTCAGGCCAGAAGCACTCTGGGTTGAATCCTCTACTCTCATTTGGTGGAAACACAAAAAGAGTTTCATCTTTGAAGACAATAAGCAGATAATCACTAAGCCTGAAAAGTGAAAGGTGTTGTGTTGCCAGCTATAATTACTGATTTGTCTGGAGAGAAGGAGATGAAGACACCAGCTCTCCTTCAGCTCAGACAGGGGAAGTTTGATGGATATTTAATATAATAGTTCATATTAACTAAATTATGACCACCTTGTCAAGCTTTGCAATAGCTCTTTGCTCACCGTTGTCCAAAACTGTTGATGCATGTGCAACACGAGTGATTGTTTTCTGATAAACCCCTTCAATCTGTTTTCAGACTGGATAAAAATCAGCAGCAGTGTAGAAATACACGACGCAGTCGGATGATCTTTGGAGATTATTGGTGGCTCTCCTCATGATGATCACAAACATTTTGCAGCAGCTTTGAACATACAACAAGCCTGGAGATAAAGGTTTATTGTCATAATGCTGGCAGCTGAAGTTACATGTTTAAGACCAGACAGCACCTGATTTACTACTTTACCCATTTCCAACATATTCCAAGGAGAGCATCAACCAGTGGAAAACTTTAAAAAATGTATTTTATCTTATGGATGGTTTCACAAAACGACAAATATCCCTAACATTAAGAATTAACTGATGGCTGGGAACAAAATACATAACAGCAGCTATTTCTGAACTTTAGGACATGTTAGTAAATCTGTATGAATCTAAAATAGACATATTTATATTTACATGAAATAACTGCAGACTGTGACCCAGGGAATGTCAAGGTTATGATATATTGAGAACTAATATCCTAAGTGATCCACAAAAGGAAACAAACTTCTGCATTCCCGACTTTAACTTTAGAAATAAAGTCAGATGCTTTTCCTGTTAGCTCAAAGCTAGTCCTGTACCCGACGGAAATGTCCCGCTGCTTCATAGCTCTGTAGATTTAGCTGAAATAAGGCCTAATGAGAGTCAAACTTGTAAAGATTCTTCCTGTCATTTACTCCAACTAACATGCATTCATTGGGCATTAGGTGAAACGTTGGTTAGCTTTACTTGATTGTAAAACCTTAATAGCCGGTTTGTATTGTGTCTGAAATGTTTATGTGCTAAAAACCTGAAGGAAACAAAATGTACATCTGCACCACTGACAGAGTCAAAGCCAGTTAGAAGTGATTGTTCTTTAAAAGCTGCTTCGGGTTGTTTTGTCACTTTAAGGTCTAATGGATGAGCTACTGAAATGAAATGTCGCAGTTAGCATACGTCTCACCAAAACGTTACGGTTTCCCTTTGATTCTGTCACTTGAATGTTAAAATGTAAACTTTATCAATTGTAATGTAAATAGAGGCCTTAACACACATGACACACATTTTGTCAGGGCTAAGGACAAAGAATTGTCATATTATCGTATCCAAACAACACAAAACAAGAAAAAATATACATATGGTATCAACAGTTCAACCCATGACCAGTAGAATAGAAACTATGGAGGTTATTATTTTCATGTGTTTCAAACAACTTTTCCAGACTGACACTTTGACCAAGGTGAACTGCACTTTATTATTATTATTATTATTATTATTATTATTATTATTATTATTATTAGTTTGTTAAGACATTTTTGAGGCCTGTTGAAAGCAGAGGACTCTCTCCATCTATAAGAACGTTTCTGCTTCCTGCTGTTTTCTGTTTGGTTGCAGTTCTGCAAAACTCAGTAAAATACACTAAATATCTCATGTTAAATATTTTAACTTTGTGTCAAACTGATCTCAGTCGTTTCGATGTGACGCTTTTTCATGTTGGCATTTTTAGTTCCAACTGATTTTATGTCCAAATTATTCCAACCAACACAGAATTTCAAGACATTGTAACTGTTACTAGCTATTAATAAATTATAATATTTTGTATTTTAGTAATGATGAATAACTATAATTGGTTAAATCAACGATTACTTTTTAAGGATAGTTTGATGTATTGGCAATTACATTGTTACAGAAATATACAGAAATAATTCACAACAGTTTTAAATCATGAGAGAGAAAACATTCAGACTGAATTGTTTAGGGAAACGTCTGGTGGAAATGTGTCTGTTTTTTGCAGAAAATGCACCTAAGACTTGAACTGGCTTTAAAGTTGAACAAACATTGCTCATGAAAATGTTTTTCTCGTCAAGCAACAAGAAATTTAATTATGTTTTTTCATGTTTTGAGTGGCAGTGTGTCATTTTGAAAGATCATTTTGGTGAAGGAGTGGGAGGATAAGAGGGTTGATACAACACCAAACGCTGGCTGGTGGAAGATTTCCTCTGCTCTGCTGCTGTGCAGACGCAGCGGTTATTAAACTATACCCTCCATCTTCTCTAGCAATACTCATAAAAACGTTCCCCCTCATGCCATCTGGAGCATCCTCCCATCTGATGTGTCCCACATAAGCACGAGCGAAAACATTTTCAGGCTGTCTTACTCTGCTGAGAATCAAAGATGAAATCATTTTTCATCTATTTTCGTCACATTTTGCTGTCTTTGTGATTCATCCCCTCTGTACTGCTCTTACGATACGAAGCCATAATATTTCCATTCACAGCCTTAAATTTTAAATTTCCAAACATTTCTTCCTTCCGCTCCATATATATATACATACTGGAAGGAGATGTTTTGGTTTTTGGGAGGTGTCATAAGGTTCTGCAGGCCTTTATGTTGTTAGAAACATGTGTGAGCAGCTGTGAAAGCAAAGCTGATTATAAATCTGCTTTCCTCCGTCTAGAGCATTTACCCAGGGATAGTTTGCCAAGTATGTGTCTGTTTTAAGCCTCACCTGTCTGTAGTTTCTGATGTTAAATATCTTCACTGGATACAGTTTCCGTTTGAAAATCCTGTTCCCTTTTTTTAGCTTCACTTGATCAACACCAACAAATGTTTGCATAAACCTGGTGTTAGCGCAGCGCTAAGCAGCAGAAGCATGTGTGCATCGCTTTTATTTATTGCTCATGTTTTGGCACCTTGAGGACTGATTTGTTATCAGGGCAGGAAAACGATGATGTAACTTTAGTTTTAATCACTGCATTTAGATTCTGGCTATATTTGCAGATTTTCTGACAAACTGTTCGGTTGTTGAGTAAATGCACAATTTGGTGTACTGGTATTCTAATCCAGCTGTCAATAAAATAGTTTAACTCCATTCCTGTCTGCTGTTTATTGTGTTGAATTTGTGACAGTTATTTAATGTCATATCAGAGTTGGGTAGCAACTGGTTCCGTTTAATTGAACAACTTTTTTGAAAAAAAAAAAAAAAAAAAATTTCTTGGCCTCATTTTGTTGGTTTTTTTTTGTTACTTTTAAGAATTATTCTCATTTTCATCCTCAAAATACCAACATTTCCTTTTAACTTTATATTTTGGTTCGTCTGATAATAATTTGATCTGTTAGTCAGTACTTGAATAGACTTTTTTAGAAATACTTTTCTACTCTTGTGTAATTTCTTGGGCAGCTATTTTTGCTTTTACTTGAGTATAAATATGTTGAAGTAGTTCTGACTTGACTACAATCTATGGGTACTCTGCCCACCTCAGTGTATAACGCATCAGGGAGCTTATTTTCTCTTACAGTAACTATTTTCACAAATTAAATTCTGACCTGTCAAAACTTGAAGATGCCACTGGATCTGATTTCCACTCATTCCATCAGAGCGGCTCCCTCCCTCCGTCTGCCTTTGTGGCAGATGTTTGGACTCCCTGGTGGCCAAACCGATCAGCTAGTATTAACGTCTCTCTTATCACACACACACACACACACACACACACACACACACACACAGCAGTAGCGTGACAGGAAGCCAGGTCGCTCTATAGCACACAGGACTGGAATGAACATGCGCAGCCTGACAGACAGAGGACACGCTCACACCGTAAGTTCAAGTGCAAGCGTGACTTGCATGCACAAAAGACAGAAAGATAAATTCACACAGAGGAATTGGACTAAGCAACAGGAGGCCCTCTAATGGAGCAAAGGCAAATTGAAACATAAATCATTTCCTCCACAGGAGAAATTACATCTTCAAACAACACCACATAGCCGTAGCCGAGCGCAGCTCCTTCTGCACGTAGGAAGGAGCTGCGCTCACACTGAGCCGCTCTGCTTCATCACTGCCTGCTTTTCTTGCAGCCTGCTGTGGATAAAAAAGCTTTATTTCACATAAAGAAAGGGGAAATTTGAAAGTTTTTTAAATGTATTTCTCTAGTGACTACTAACCTTTGGTTTTCTAGTATTCAGATCTACTTAATTAATTTCAATTGTAAATATTTTACTTTTATGGATTTTGGTGAGAAAAAAAAATCTGTAAATAAATCAGCTGAGATGTATTTGTAATGATAATTTCCATTGCAAATAAAATAAAAGCAGCAAAGGTCAAATAAAGTCTTTGATTTGACTTTCAGTAGAGAAGGCATTGTAGTGATGAAAGATGGATTTTTCCATCAGAATCTGGACGGAGCATTTTAACATCAGAGGGTTTCCTGCAGCATCAAACAGAACTTAAAGGTTCTGCAGTAAACTTCTAGAAAACTGAACATCACAGGCTTTAAAGGCAACAACATATTCTTCCATTTGAACCACAATATAAGTAATAATTAACGCAGCTGGAGTGTCATATTAGTATTTAAATATTATTTTTGGGTAAAATCAATACTTTCACCTGTTACACAATAGCTGAAGCCTGTTGAATATGGTCAGTGAGCTAAAGCAGAGATTCCCAGACATTTCCAAAACCTCCACAAAGCACTGACCTCTGACCCCCTTCACAGACAATGCTGCAAAACAGGTGTTGCAAAACACATTGCTGTAAAACACATTGTTTATTCACTATTCAATAATTATGGCAGTCATTTAGCATAACTGATGCATTATACTGTCTGATTTTAAATGGCAGCCTGCAATCTGAAAAACACCGAGTCCTCCTCTATTTGTAAGACGGTTTGTCATTAATCAAAACTGGGTAACAAATGGGGGTTAACTCTGGACTGAAGTGTGTGGAATAAGCTGCACTTTTGAATTAAAGGATCTAAAGGAATAGAAATAAGTATATTGTCCAGAATGATAAAGAAAATAACATTGACAACGATTATTTTAAAGAAGGATAAGATCTGGTGTTGTTTGGAAATGTTTAATAAATCAGAACAGATAAGATACAAGTAAGTGGACTAAACTTCATAAAGTGCCATTCAACAAAGTATTTTAACGTCACTGATATATTGAAAAAGTTAGCTAACTTTTTCAATATATAAACATTATTTGCCAGTATCTATCTTGTATTGTAAATCTACTAATACATATACAATCCATTCCTAACATTTCTGTATATTCTGTATAATCTGCATAATCTGTATATGTGCATATAGCTCCCATATTTTTATCTAGATTATATTTATACTGAACATTTTATTTTTATAACCACCTTTGTACACCTGTAAATACATATTTATACCCTGTATAGCACTTTTGGATAGATGCAAACTACATTTCATCACTTTGTACTTGTGGCGGTGCAATGACAAAAAGTTGAATTCTATTCTAAAATAACAATCACAGTAGTTACTTCGGGCCAATTTAGTCACGTAGGAAACACTTCTGGGTTGTTTAGAAACTAGTTTCTGGCTGCCAAGTCAAGAAATTCTGCTCGTGAACATTACGTTACTATTTTCTTTCATTTTTACCTGTGAAAGGTGATGCCAGTGGATCCAGTTTGTTCTGTAAAACTATTGAAACAAGTCTATGCAGCACATGAATCAGGGACCTCCGGAAGCTCTACTGCCACATTCAAGATGGCGGCGATGAAACGTAGAACTCAGTGCTCAATGAGGCTCCCACATATTCATGTCTATGATTTTACCACATCAGTTTTAGCCACATATGAGCCACTGAAGATTTTCGTCATACTACCGGTAAGAATTTAAAACTGCTTCAACCCCTGGCTGGAAGTTTGATGATGCAGAAATTTATTTACTACCACATAACACCAAACACAACATGTGACATATGACCTTTCACAATAAATATACGTTTTTTTAAAGTTCCTTCTGTAAGAAGACTTCCACACTTTCACTTTGAAAGAAGAAAATTGTTCACACATTTAAAATATTTCAAGTTAAAGTTTTACTCAACTTTAGACCGTTCTCAGAGTGGATGTACTAAATCTAAACATTAAGTAAAACATTTCAATTTACAACTATTTTAAATCATGTGGCAAAAATATTTAAGATTCCTTTTACTGTTTGTCAGAAATCTGGTTGCTGTTTAGATCCAGCATGTAAGTTCAGGGAGATTTGCTGCATTGATTCACTGCTGTAAACACACAAAATGTAAAATATTTATTTATAAAACAATTTAACACAATAGTTTAAGTTAGCCTCTTCAACCTACATTAATCTGTTTTTGTTAAATACATTCACAAAATATGAAATGTTCATCTAATCCTATTCAAAATACACTAAACATTTTTAATGTGTTTTTCATAATTAAAATCTGTCGCTAAAAAGGATTTATTTTTGATATATCTTTACTATTAGCTCTTTTACTGTATGCTCTTTTTGATAGCACATTCAGTTTTCTTGTTTTGTTTCAGACAAAATATGTTTAAACATCAGAAAAAAAACTTTCACTTCTTACTCCTTTCCCAACAGAAAAGTCGTGGTAAACAAATTATTTTGTTCTTGGTTATGAATGTTTTTCTCTGTCCCACTGATTGCTTGTTCTCTTGTTTTTAAAACCTGTTTGAAATAAAATAAATAAGTAAAACATTGACTCAATGTGATTTCTTTACACATCGTTTGTCATGAAGTTCTGCTTCTTCAGCTGCAATCAGAGTAAAGTCACAGCATAACTGGCATATTGTTGGATTTCCAAGTCCTCTAGCATGTAACATAGTTAGCAAGGCCCACATAGTTAGCATGCTAAAGATAGCTACCCTTCATCTCAGCATTTATATGAGAACTAATGAGGCACAGGGAAATGTGTGTGTGTGTGTAGGTGTGTTTCCAGCTAAAGAAACTGGTCTGTATGTTGTTCAGTCTTGTATCTCTGTACTCCGTCTGTTTACTATGTTTGAACTCTATAAATGCATTATTTATGTTTCATGAAAGAGCTGAATAATCAGCTTTTCTGTCCTCAGTCTCCCAGTGTGATAATAACATCGTCATCCTGTCCTTTCCACAGCATTTCCCCCTCAAAGTCCAGCATCTTGTGTTTGCGGCAGCGCAGAAGAATCCCCACCACTTTGTCTGAAATCTTCACGTAGCGGTCGAAGAGTCTTCCAAAGCTGATGATAGTCCGACCCTCCTTGTCTTTGAAGCCCATGTCCTTGATGATCCAGACCATTTCCTCCATCTCTCTGTGGATGTGTTTGTGGGCCCGGTCTCCTCTCTCAGCGGTTTTGGAGCCGTCTTTGGGCCGACCGTAGCCAGAATCCCCTTTGCGGAGACGCTGGGACATCGCAAAGTCGTAGTCAAACTCCTCGCTGAAGGGGTTGAGCTTCTGGCCCTCCATGTGCTGCTCGGACCACTGCTGCCAGCGGCTTTTGATGTCACCCATGGAGGCAATCTTAATCTGCAGATAAAAAGTAGAGTTAAAACAATACATAAAACAGACCACAAAGTAAACATATTTATAAAGACAGTCATGAAGCTTATAAGTCAAAATTAGACTTTTCTCTCGTTGTGTTTCTGTTACAAATGTGCACAAAATTGTGTCAATATTCCACTAATGTAAAAAAAATAAATAAATAAGAAACAAAAAAATCCTACATGAATAAGTTTTTTCACTAGATAAGTCTTTAAAAACATTAAAAACATGATCCTCCAACTACTTCCTGTTGTCTTCTTCTTGGTTTTCAGCAGCAGTAACATCCGACTGTCTGTCATGTGACTTGTGATCTGAAAAATGGCTTCCATTCCAGTTCCACTGCAAATAATACAATTTCTACACATCCAAAAATAACACTCCATTCTAGCAACAAAACATTTGACCAAAATGTTGTGGTAAAATATATATTTTTTAAATCAGTGTTTCCATTAAGAAAACAGATTTTTGAAATGTCAGTTTGCTCAATTATTATACCATAAGTGGAAATGCAGCTTCTGTCTGTGATCAGTTTTGGTTTTTACACAAAAACTGATAATTTTTTCCTCCTTTCAATGTGTGGAAAACTTTGGCATCAACCATTTTCCATTGACTTGTCACAGTTATAATTTGAGATTAATGACCTTTAGTCTTGAAATAAACTCCAGTTCACTCCTTGAAATAGATATCCAGCTTGACATTTGCCTTGACGTTCACTTGCATACTGTGAAGTTTTGGAAAATGTTTTCTGAGTAAACCAAAATGCTCGGAACTACATGTTGCAATCTTTGGAAAATCTCTGGTCCTGTGAAGGTGATCATGCTGATTAATGCATGATTGCAATTAATAATTGCGTAATAAACACAATATACATTTAAAAAAGTAGAGCATACACTCATCCACATTAGATTAAGTATTTTCAATAATATTAAGAGACTTTTTTAGCATTCAGACATATCTAAGTCTTCTCTTTCTTTTCTTCCTCATCTTGTGGTAAGTTGAGATTTAAAGGTGTTTCAGCTGTTTTACAGTTTTCTGGAAGTTTGTTCCAGATTTGTGATGCATAGAAACTGAATGCTGCTTCTCCTCGTTTGGTTCTGGTTCTGGTTCTGGATGCAGAGCAGAACCAGAACCAGAAGATCTGAGGGGTCTAGACGGTTGGTACAGCAACAACAGATCTTTAATGTATTGTGGTGCTAAACCGTTCAGTGATTTATAAACTAACAACAGTATTTTAAAGTCTATCCTCTGAGCTACAGGGAGCCAGTGTAGGGCCTTTAAAACTGGTGTTATGTGCTCTATCTTCCTGGTTTTAGTGAGAACACGAGCAGCAGCATCTGGATGAGCTGCAGCTGTTTGATTGATTTATTAGTCAGACCTGTGAAGACGCTGCTGCAGGAATCAATGCGGCTGAAGATAAACGCATGGATGAGTTTCTCTAGATCGTGCTGAGACATTAGTCCTCTAATCCTGGAGATGTTCTTCAGGTGATAGAATGTCGACTTTGTGACTGTCTTAATGTGGCTCTGAAGGTTCAGGTCAGAGTCCATCACTACTCCCAGGTTTCGGGCCTGATCGCTGGTTTTCAGTTGTAATAACTGAAGCTGGACTTTTTAAAAGCATGAGTAAACGTCTGTATAAATTATATGGTTTGCAGCAGTTGCAGCTCTTTTTTTATTAGAGCTAATTTATGAATGTTAATATTGAGTTCTCAGCCTTATTGCATGTTCATTTTTTATAAATAAAATGAAAAGGGTTTAAAATAACATTTATTATCAGTGGGATCAGTTAGGTTGTGATCCTGTAAATAAAGAGGAGTTTAGATTAAATCTTCCCAGTTTCATTTGTGTCACCAAATAGAAAATGTAACTTCCTCATATATTTTTTTTCAAAGTGTGTGTCTGTGTGTGATTTTTTTACAACCCTGTCCTCCAAAGATCTCTCTGCTCTGTTTTGCTCTGGCTGTTCCACCTGAAGGTCATCAGGTTGGAAAACACGTTGCAGAATGTGACTATATTTATTGACATATATTCCATTGCACAGCAGGTGCAGCGTGTGTGTGTGTGTGTGTGTGTGTGTGTGTGTGTGTGTGTGTGTGTGTTTTTACAACCCGGACGTTGTCCCTGGTGACTTCTTGGATTTGTCACAGGGGCCCATCAGTTCCTCAGCCTTTTATGGCAGACATGTTAGTATTAGACTTATGCAACTGTTGTTCTGTTTGCCGTCCGAGGAGGAGTTGAATTTCTTCAGGTCACTTTAAGGTCTGTGCTCACGCTGTGTGTGTGGCACATGTCGTAATAAGGCTTTTATTTTTTTCTGCATCTGATTCAGACATCAGACACATTTATTGTTCGGGAAACTTTCCATTCCTCTTATGGAAAAAAAGTTTATCGTTGAATAAGAATCTAATGAAATAAAACTTGTTTAAGCTTCTCAATCAAAGCCTGTTATAGGAACAGGATGCATGTTAAACATCCACCCAAAGTTAAACACAACTGAACTGCAACCAGTGGAATATTTTCTTTAAATGATAAACAGATGAAGAATCAACTTGAAAACTATTTTCAATAAAAGATTTTCAGCATTTCTCAAGCAGATGTAATTTGTGGTAAGGGAAGTAATTATAAATGTACTTATATTTTGGACTGGAAATAATAATAAACAAATGAAAAAATATTATTTTCATCCCCACTATCCATCTGTTCGAATGGAGATGCCAAAGCAGCTTCAGCAGTAATCAGATCTCATTTGTTCAGGTCATCACTGCTAAAGGTGCAGATATGAGTATCACATTTAGAACCTAAAAGTTGATATTCTGACATGGTTTTAATCATATTTGTTCTGTTTGTTTACATGTAAGAAATCTGTACTCCACACAAAACTTTGTTTAAACTATTGGACTATTCAACAAAATAAGCAAATAACTCAAGTTTACTCATAATTCTTAACCATGTTTTTATGTTGTATTATTTAATAGTTCCTGGAGAAACTAATTTCTGATTTTTAAACTGAGTCAGTGACAGACAAAAACTGCTGAATGAATAAGAATGAAGGAGGCTCAAAAAGCTCAAACAATCTGAACATGTAAGATTATCTGTTGATTTTTCTGGGCACCTTTACGATCCTCACAGATGTTTTGCATGTCCTATTTGTTTATGTCTGTGCTTTAAGCTCTTTACCTTTGGCCTGTTGGCTCGTGTTTTAACTAGGCCTTCACTTTGTTCGGCCTTGGAGTCGCTGTTGTCGCTGAGTCCGCCGTCCTCTCCCAGTCCGCTGTCCTCTGTGTCCACGCTGCTGCTTCTGGAGCTCAGTTTCTTCTCCTGGAGCATCATCTTCCTGTCCTGGATGTTCCCACCTTGTCCTGCTGCTTCCGCGCTCTGCAGCGCCCTCATCTGACGGCGGCGTGTTGGCGACTCGTTGCCCAGAAACGGCTTGCTCTCTTCGGGACCGGACTCCATTTTGTCACGGATTTCGTTTATGACGTTGTTGCTGCTACACTCGCTGCGTTTCAGCTGGACAGTCTTGGTGACGGAGCAGGTCCGGATTTTGTTTTCTTTGCTATCGCCGGGATCTGCTTTGATTACTCTTGGAGTAACGCTGAGTTTTACCACGTGGCTTTGGTCTTTCTTGCTTTCCTCCTCTACAGATGAAGGCATCCAGCCAGTTGGGATTGAATCTTGTTTGCCTGCATGTTCGCTGGCCCATCCTTGCCAACTCTTGGCCAAGTTCGCCACCATTGCAGCACATTTGATTTTGCGTACAGCCCGTTTAAATGGCTGCGGTTCCTGCGGTGAAACGGTGGCGGTGTCTCCTCTACTCATTCTGACACGATGATTTCCAAATATTTGTGTTTAATCAATATTTCTCTTAAATAAAGTCTTGTAATTACTGTTGCTGTTTCTTCCAGTGACTATGTAAAACAATTTCCAACAAGAAATTAGCACAATACGATTGGCTTGAAGTGCTATCGAAATGTTGAAATCAAAGTTTGCAAAAGGTTTTCTCCTGCTGAGAAAGTGAACAATTAAAAAAAAAGTTTCCAATCTCAAAATTTGAACAAAACTTTGCTGTCGATCTTGGCGGCTGCTCAGCCTTTAAAAGCCTCCACAGATCCCTGCAGAAACATTCAGAGCCTTCTGGATCCTGTGGCGGGTCAGTGGGTGAGCTGCTGGTGTGAAGGGTGCACAGCATTGCTTCTAATCTGCTGAAGCCCCCCTGGCACCACCACCACCTTTAAATAGGAAACGGTCGTAAAGGAAGTGATGCAGCCTCCATGTGAGACATAAAAGTCCGGTGTCAACATTCTTGTTGCTGACAGACACACACACACACACACACACACACACACACACACACACACACACACACACACACACACACACACAGTTACTGAGGAGTGGAATTTCTCCCACTGGAGTTCAGGGAACAGGTGTCCAGTGGTTTTAGTAACTCCCTGATTTCTGTCCTTATGCATCAATAGGATGAATCACAAACTGTCTGTCCTGTGAGTTAACCTGCTATACACAACAGCATGACATAACCTGCGTTCAGCTGTACTCTGATTATTTAGGGACATGATCTCACACATGATACACGTTTAGTTGAACTAGATGTGCTGTGTGAATTCCTAACTTGTTGGTCACATGCATAGAAAGCAGGACGAATGTTCCTCTACATGTCTATGCATGTACAGCAGAGGCTATTTCAGTCTGTGTATTCATACTTAGGTGATCATTAGTCAGCCGTATCGTTATGATACGTTATGACACTCTGACACCAATCATATGGTGTCAGAGTGTCTAGTACAAGTAAAGATTTTATCATTTGTTGGCTGGAATTTCCAAATATTAACTTTGCTCAAAAGGTAAGCAGTCAATTTGAAGACCAAGCTAAAATACAGTAAGTATTAAAAATATTACTCACATCCTTAAAACATCAAGTTTAACTTTTGTAGAAGAAGGAAAAGAAAGAAGGAGGAGGAGAGTGTCTAATGTTGGATAGACTAAGAAATAGTTCCCTCCTGGTATCAAGATGTTGATCTGGAGACTTAAATATCTCAGTAAAGAGAATTTGATCATTTTGCACACATTTAGGTCATGCACTTTGCGATAATATTTGATTAATTACTTTTATTGTATGCAAAACATTTCTGCAGGTCAGAAGTCGGAAGTATTTCCTGTTAATGTTTTTCAACCCTGATCATGAGGACACACAGTTTCCCTGCTGCAGCACATAAAAATTCAATTGATCACTGATAAATACTTTTTACTGATCTGCAGTTATATGGATGAAGTGTGTTAAAGCAGGGAAACATCTGAACATATGCAGGGCAGTGTGACTGGAGCAGCAGAGAAGGAAACATTGTTTTACAGCATAAAATATGATCGTAAACATGGAAACAACTCTGCAATGCAAAGCAATGAACGTCAATTTTTCAGAGCATTTCCACAGTGATTTACTCTAATAGAGTTTGATTGTTATCATTACTGCAACTTTTTATGATTAAGATAAAAAAATAACAACCCAGGATTGTAATAATAAATCGTAATACTCTGTAAAAAAATGACTTTTTTATTCAGTGATGAACATGGTGTATCCAGAGATTAGAGTTTAAAACAATTTAATAAGATTGAACGAGATAACCAAATAGGCTAATAGATATTTACAGTCCATAAAAAGACCATTAACTGCTTATCGCTTAGCAGAATCACATTATGATCCTGGTAATTTGATAAGACAAAAATAGAAATCAAGCAGCGCATGTTGAGAATTATTCCTTTGTTCAGATTTGACTTCCCTGAAACATTTTCCAATGAAATATGAAGCTGAATTTGTCTTCTGAGAGTCTAGAGACAAAAATACCCGAATAAGGGGCCACATTGTTGTCATATCAGGTCTCTGACATGTGTGTGTGTGTGTGTGTGTGTGTGTGTGTGTGTGTGTGTGTGTGTGTGTGTGTGTGTACTGTATGCCAGCGTTGGGTTTCCAGCCTCACACCAGCTGCTGCTTCACGTGCACGCTGCTGCTGCATGCTGCGCGCTGCAGGCTTCAACAGGAATAGATACGGCTGGCATTAGGAAGCCATGAGAAAGGTGTGAGAACACCGTCTAATGACTGGAGTCTTTCTGCTTGAGTTAACCAAAGAAGAAGCTTTTTATGTATGCAGATTGTGTCTGGCTGAATAATAATAACCCAACACACTTTGATGAGAAAACGTTGCGTTACTTTGATAAAGTTTGTTAGCAAGTGAAGAAACAGAGAGGCGAGAGTTACCAGACGTTAATTTTACTAGCTTAATTTTATCTTGTTCTAATAGATTCAATGTAAAAACATAACTAAACATGATTGCAAAATAAGGTTTGCATAATATTTTAGTATTTTTTTTGCCTGAAATGACCAGAATCAAAGCCAAGTATAAACAGTATAAAATAAAATTGGAAGAATTAACAGAAACATAAGTTAGTTTAACACATCAATTTGTCTGTTTAGCTTTTCCTTGAATATATTTCTACAAATAACATCAGTTTTAACACATCTTTGCCTTCTTTCAGCTTATTCCAGACAGTTTTCTCCTAGTCTGGTGTATCTCAGTGTAAAAAGCGGGCCAGGTGGGACATAACCGGGTCTCCAGAGAAACGGTTACTTATCTCACACAGATGTTTGGGAGTTCGAGTCAATTTTGAATTTTTTCCTCTATCAAAACAAACTTTCATGTCAGAGTTCAACAACCACAGTGAGGCTATTTTGAATAACCCACATTTTATCAACCTGTCACACTGCTTTATTAAAGATCATATCAAGAAAAGCTGAATGTTGTTGTCCCTACTGTATGAACGAAAAACAAGAAAAGGAAACTGTAATTGTTTTTCATGACCTGTGGTTCTGCTAATCTCACACTGCCAGGCCTCTGTGTGGTCACACTCATAATGATAAGCTGCTGGTTTACTGAAATACCATAAAAATTATGGCAGAGGCAAATTGTACTTTAAAAGGATCATTACTCAAATGGAGTTTTCAAAGAAAGATATATTTGAAGCTAAGAGCAAAGCCTGAGTTTATGAGCCGGACTCACACACTTAATCTCTCATCTTCTCCCTGCAGAAAGTGAAATTTTCTTTAAATTAACTTGTGACTGAATCTATTTTACGACCACATTGCAGTACATTAACTGATGTTTATTATAGGTATATATCACATCCCAAAAATATATAATGGAATGAGAACAGAATATAAAATAATCTTGCATATATAATCTGCCATTTTGTGGCAGAGTTACAGCGCCACCAATTGGCCCGGCATACCTGCTACAGCTAGGAGCTAAAAGGCTAACGGTCGTCGGATGTTGCCTTTTCACTAACTGACTGTGTTCAAACTGTCCTGCTGTTTATTACACAGCGCACTGTGTTCAGTTTCTCTACTTATATTCAATGTGTGCTGAAATATTGAAGAGATTCTTAAGAGATTATTTACTAAAACAATATTTAAACATTTAAAATCGGTGTTCAGTTGAAACAGTAATTATGGCCCAAAGTAAGCTGAAAACTGTAATATAAAAAGTGAGGTGTGAGATTGTGACTAAATGAATGAGCATTTTGCACAACACTACTATTTTGCAAAACAATTTGTGTATATTTTTCAGAGATTATACACAGTATATTTTGTTCAAATTAACGTTCAAGTACATTTATGAATCTCATTTTAAATATGTGTCAAATTTTCCAGTGGAAAGTGAAACATTTTCGTAGGCTTTCTTTATTGTCATTGAATAATTGGGAAAAACTTTAACTCCATACTCTGCGAACCA